CAGGGAAATTTTTTTCAGATTATTAACAATGAAGTTATTGTTATATAGAACATTTAGTGCAATTGAATGGTATTTGGATTTAGTGGAAACTGAAGCAATCCCATCTTCTGATATTAAACAAGATGGCATTCAGCTTGGCAAACTCTGAAGTAATCATATCTAGCTACTCTGTCCTATGAGCACCCTCAGAAGAAGAGCTTGGGAGTTAACAGGCATAATTCTACTGTAGAAAAAATATTATGGATTAAAAATACTTGTATTGACACATTATCTTCCTTTCCTTCTCCCCCTGCCCATTGTGTACACACGGTTTCTACTTCCAGTGTTTTGTTGGCAATAACCTACTTGTGTTTTTCCACTAGCAAGCCACATCATCAGGGCTTTCCTCCATTGACACTTTCTCCATTTTAGATACTTTAATATCCTTCTTTTTTCAGGTAATAGAACTGGTAGATGTCTAACTGAACTCTGATATATTGTTTCAAATTTGCACGTGGTTATTTCTCCTTATTTCTGATCCAAATGAAGTTTTGTCCTCTGAAATGCCTTTTTTTTTTTTTTTTTAACTGGAACAGTTAATATAACTACTTCCTTCTATAGATAATGTAGTGCTTCATGTGCGTTGTTTGCATTAAGTGAAACCTGTGCTTTCTTTTTCCAAGTATAAGCCCAGTGGTACTGGAGTCCATCTGGAGCAATATCATCTGTTTTCTAGGTCTCATCTGTTTACAGTGTAATCTCTGACTAAGTTTGGGACTTAACCTGGTTAAACATTGTAGTTGTATTTGCTTGGTCATTTTGCTAATCTTCCACATGGGTGAATTTGCCTCTGTGAATACACATACTTCCTTAAATTATGGCAATAGCATGAGAGTATTCTACCTTTTCTGGTTCACATGCAGGTATTTTAATAAGGCAGCTAAGCTTGTTTTCTGCCTTTTTCTTTTAAAGGCAGAAAAAAATAATACTATTATATCAGAATTTCCAACTTATGTTTAGAGGCCTGTCAGCCTGTGATGTGGACCTTTTTTTTTTCCTCTTGCTCAGGGTGATCCAGTCATTGCATTGGCAAGTTCTGTGTCAGCCCTCTGAGCTGCAGTATATGGGTCCATGCTAGATAAAGATGTTTCCCTCTCAAGTGTTAAACATAGTCCAGCATCCTATAAAAATGTAAATGCTTTAGGCTATAGTGCCTTAAACAGTTCTGGAGGCAGTTGAAGCCTCATGTTTTTTGTCTACTATCATGCAGTTTAACTGTCTAAATACATAGTAAGCCTTCTGTGATTTTGTTTCACTGAACTTTATGCTTTTTAGGACAATGGTGTGGATTTTTTTCAAGTTAGTGTACTTTGTAACATGCCAGAAGCATGGCAGCACCTGCTGCTCTGTTGTAGATCTCTATCAAATTCCAGGTCTCCTCGGTATCATGTGCATTGTCTGCATCTCATATGCTACTTTGCAGAAAATATATTTGTGGTCATATTTAATGTTTCTCTGGTAGGTAGCACACTGGGTGTTAATTTATTCAAGAGACTGGTATAGCGCAGTAGGCAAATCCTGTTTTCAGTCCTCCAAGTTGTTTCATCTGCCCTAGATCAAACCATGTAGATAATTGTTTTACAAGAGTTTGCTTCAGTACAAGCCTGACAGCTGACTTCTTAAAATCAAACTGTATCAATAGCACTGTGGGGAAATTCAGCTTGCAGGAGCTAATAGTAGCCTGTCCCTTGATGACGAGTTTTCTTAATTGTCTATTCTGGTGATTGGGAGAATGGGATAGTAGAAGAGGCAGAAAAATCTTATGCTATTAGCACCATTTAATTAAGTATGCATATTTACAGTTAAATTTACTCATGTGATTCTGTTGTTTGAGGAGTATTGTTTTGTTCTTGGAGAACCCTTTGTGACTAGAGTGCAACTTTGTTTTGACTATCCTTTGTCACCATGTGCAGCCCAGCCTCTGTTTTGCTGTCCTGTTACAACTAGATTCTGACAAATCCTCAGTCTTGGGTTCTCTGACCATAGCTGAGAATTCTCAAGTGGTATTACCTTACCTAGACGTACTGGATCTCTAGGATGGGACTGTTGAGAAAAGAGCAGAGCTGAAAGTACTTCACTAAATTTTGCTGTTAAAGATCACTTCTGCATGTAGAAAAAGGACAGATTCAAAATAATGATTAAAGCAACTTGAGCTGAGGAGGTGACACCCTAGGTGTGTGTCCTGCAGTCCTATCACCAATGCTATATCTAACCAGTACTGTCACCATTAGGTAGGCAGGAGTACAGGTACAGGGTGTGTGCAGTGTTCCCATGGCCTTGTCAGGTGTGTACGCAGGAGGTAACTGCCATTTGAACTGTCTTTGCAGAAAGCTTGTACAATGAAGTTACCTGCTTCTGCAACTCAAAGGTTCATGCCAATGGGAAGTAAAGTGGGCCTAGTCTGTGTATATGCTGTTTGGTGGCTGCAGTCATCTGAGCAATTGGCTCATGTGCTGGCTGGCCAGTCTGAGCAGAAGGAGAACCAAACCCCTCCTGCCGCCATTGCCCACCAAAATGCTACTAAGCAGCAAATAGTTGGTGTGTATGTTTGGATGTTTGGGATAGAGAAGAAAGGGAAGCTAAGGGGACTTTTTCAACAAACCTGTAGGAAATAAGGATCTCGGATTTGTGGTTTGCTGTACAGTGTTAGATTTTCACATTGATGTTGAAAAATGCTAGAATAAAACTGTGTGGGCTTGGATGGACTTCTTTGGACTTTTCCCTGTGGATTCTGGAGGCATACATTTTAAAGCTGAAAAACTCTTGGGTAGGTTTTCTCACTTTCTCTACAGAAGCTCTGAGTTACTTTAAAATTAATCTCCTGCATTGTTGCACAGGTAGTAATCAACAGTGGTTACATTCTTGATGGGGAATATTTCCCGTAAGGGTGGGACTGGGTTTGTTAAGTGTCTGAGGGCTTACATCTGTTTCTGCACGTGGTAATTCTATGGTTTGTAACTGCAACACAGCCTTCCCTTCTGTTTTGTGGTGTTCTGTCTCTTAATGTGCTACAGACGGGGAAAATACTTTGTTAGAGCATGTTGTTAGCAGCAGATAATAATTTTATGGCAGAAAGATGTTTCAGGACTTTTCTACACAAGATAATTATTGATGGGGGGGGAAAAGTAATGTGAATTTAAAGGCAAATCACCCATTTGAAATAAGTCAGACCAGATGAGGTCATCAGACTTTCAAAAATAAGATGGCCCTCCAACTTTTCAGCTGCTTGTCATGGGTTCAGGAGAAATCAGTCTAATCCTAAAACGTTACCATCTCTTTGTTGTAGGCTTCTACCAGAGCAAGATAATTTGTTCTTCTCTAATTACTCAAGATGTAGTTTTAATGTTCCTATATTTGAGAGGTCAGAAATTAGTGGCTTACTCATTGTTTTGTACAGGAGTGAGTGCTTCAGCTGGTACTTGTCTAGAATGACCAGGCTGGTTGTGAATTGCTAATGAACTGATTAAATAGATTGAAAGCACTTCTTAGTAGAATGTAAATCTTGCTTTTGTTTTTAAATTGTGTTTCATAATGGGTAAATTCTGAGGTCTGAAAGGGTGCATATAATGTAGTCATTTTATACCTTATAAAGTTGTTATATTTCTATTCCATTTTATATTGATCACCAGTCTACACAACTGTTATTGATAAGTGCAAGCACTTACAATTTTTAAGGGTAAAATCTCCAGTTTTATTAACAGAAACCTTTGCCTTTTGTTTGACTGTTAAAAACTGTATTCTGAATTTCTCTAAGTTTGCAATTTACGTCATAATGTTGAAGATCACTTCTAGAAAAGATTTCTGGTCTTCAGATGTGTAAATGAATTTTGGAGGGTGTTTTGTGGGTTTTGGTTTTCTTTTGTTTTTGCAATGAAATGAATAGGATTTACCATACCTGTTATTCCAAGTACAAGGGAGATGGTCACTAGGAAAAACAGTTTTCTGACACCAGTGGCTCCATTGTACTTGAGTATAGAACAATACAATTTGATAGCCTCAAAAGATATCTGTCTTCATACACTTTTCTGATTCAACAGAGCAATTGAAAGTATTCCTATCTTGGTTATAGCCTTGCTTGCTGCAGCACTAGGATGCTTAAGCTGATTTTTTTTTTTAAATTGAAAAAACATCTGTAGTGTTTCTGTGGTGTGCCTGCAATCACATTTTTTTTATTTAGCTTTCTGTAGCTGGGCTGGGTTTCACCTAGAGCAAAAATCAAAAGCCTTGTTTTCTTTCTCTAAGCCAAGTGTCTTGAGGATTTCATTTCATAAACTACTTCAAAAATGTGCTTACTATTTCTCAAGACAAAAGCAAGGATGTTATCACTTAGTCCTGACATGGAATCATCTGAGCTAGTCGGTACAGGGATGCATCACAGATCGTGACCTGTCATTCTCATTTCTCAGTAATTTCAAATTGTTCTTCAGAGTACTGTATCTATATATCCCTAGCAACATGGCCACTCTGCTTTTTAACACCTCTTTCCCCAAGTAATCTAAGTCATTGCTGCCTTTGGCAGATGAAGCCTTTTACTTTTCATTGTTTTCTATCTAGAATTTGTTGTTTAGCTTACATAGTTAATAGCTTACATTTTTCTTCCAAATTACTTTGATATTCAATAATTTTATATTAAAAAAAGAGAACTATTTTTAAAAAAATATTTATTTACCTCCTGCCACTACAGTAGAAATTTATTATGTAGCATGCATAAAAGAACGGATGGAAGGCAAATGCTTTCAGATAATAACTCAGGGGTCTCTATGAAAATTTAGTTGTAATTGTCATTTAAATCTGTATAACACTGGTTGCTCACCTACTCAGGATTACCTGGTGATGCTTGCATCAGAATTCGTAGGTCCTTGGATTTGTTTGTTTGTTTGTTTGTGCCTATCCATGGGCTTTCCAGTTTCAAGAATTACTTGGGAAGCAGCCTTCTGGGAGAACACACTTCGTATGGGTACATGACATGTTGGGAGCAGAGCAGGGACTGTCTTCAGGAGGTGTCTGAAGTGGGGTTTGTGGATGGGAGTAGCATGAGTAAGGTGTGTTGTTTTGTTGGTTTTTTTAATGGAGGAAGTAGGCAGGAGAAACAACAGGATTTTTTTTTTTTTTTTTTTTGGTCAGGAGTTACTGTGCTGAGTTATTTTTACCTCAGTGAGAGCTTGGGACAAGTGGCAGTTTTATTTGGAGAGCAGGGAGTCTTTGTGTTTTTACCAGCAACTGTTTTTGTCTCAGAAGACCTTATCTGTCTTTGTTGTGGAACTCATGGCACTTCTATGTTCAAACAGGTCTAAAACCACTGGATTTTGAGGCTAAGTTGCTATGTAGACTTTTAAAGCAGTGACCTGTGAATGTTTTTCTGACCAAGCAGCCGTGACCCTGCTCTAGACCAGGCTAGAAGCATCTGGGTTTCCAGCAGTTTTATTTATTCATTCCTAAACAAAACCTGCTGTTAATCACTGTATTTAGACTTTGAGCACATATAAACGTGTAGATACATAAAAAGTGAGTATGTACATTCACAAGTTAGCCTCTGTCTCTCTTTTAAGAGTAAAATAGGTTCATGGAAGATTAAAAAATAGGAAATAATTAATTTAAGTAAAACTGGGAATGACTAGATATGAAACAGTGAGGAGACCTATTCCAAATATCAGATTAGAGGAATGAACGCAAGTGGAGTGAGAGGTTATAGTGGAGTAATATACTTGCATTTAAGAATATTTTTATTTTGTCTCCTTAGTACTACTAACAACTTCTTTTATATGTGTTTTCTGTATGTGGGAGTTGAGGGACCTCTAAGGGAAGTGTGTCAGGAAAGAAACTTCTTTTCTCAAATGTTTAGCAGATAAAAGGTGCAAGAACCATTATATTGAAATGATAGCTCTTTAGTATGTGGTATTTGGTAGACAGGGGTTATATGTGGCCCCTTATAACAGTAGAAAGCAAATATAAAATAGGAATTTTTTAGTACTGATTTGATCCATCTGCAGAGGAAGTCTTGCTTGGATGTTTATTTAGCCTCTTTGATGTTTTTTGTTTTTCATGCCAGCTCTATGTGGCCACTGAAGCCATCCTCATTGCATTGGTGGGTGCAACTCCTCCCTACCACTGGGATCTCCAAGAGCTCTCAGTCAATCAGAGCCATAGCAACCCGTCAGCAAGTGAGCAGAGAGCTTTTGGGGAATGGCTTCTGACTGCCAATGGCAGCGAGGTGCATGAGCACGTACATTTCAGCAGCAGCTTCACATCAATAGTCTCTGAGGTAAGTCTGAAATATATATCTCTGCCTCATGTTTGAGTAGTAGATCTGACTGGGTCAGTTGCAGGGGCTGGTTGTACTGCTTCTTTATCCCATACTAATAATGCATGTTTTGATTGACAAATGAAACATGCTACCTTTCAGGTAGACTACAAGTAATCTATTCATATCTTTACTGGCAACAAAAGCTAGCTTTATTTTGCTTTGCAGATCTTGACCAAAGTTCTGGTCCAAAACTTCACACCTTTTCCATATGAAAGTTATGTATTGGATCCCATAGCCTGGTTTCACTACCATCCTGGAATCATGTCATTCATTGTACAAATGCACTCAAAATCCTTTATGTGTCATGAGCTCTTCCTGGCCAATTTGCTAAGGTGAAATACATGTAGTGCATCTGTCATGCAATTAGCAACCAGTGGAGAAACTGGAGAGGTTGTGGCTTCTGCAGTCTTTGCAGCTCCAGATGTGAGGAAAGGCATGAGCAGTGAGTGGGGAGTCAAGTAGACAAGGAACTCATAGAATCATAATTGGAAAAGACCCATAAAGTCATCAAGTTCAGTTGTCAACCTAACACCACCATGTCAACTAAACCATGTCCTGAATTGCCACGTCTAAACACTTCTTTGCACACCTTCAGGGGTGGTGACTCCACTACTCCCTGGGCAGCCTATTCCAATGCTTGACCACTGTTTCGGTAAAGAAGTTTTTCTTTCAGTAAAGAAATTTTTCCTCTCCTCATTCTATCCTAAACCGAAGCTCTAGTTTTATTGGTGTGGCCTTTGTGTTTTGTGTCTTCTTTCATGGTCTAGCCATGGCCCCTGCAGAAATTATTCCAGACTCCACACTGATGTGTGCAGCACCTGCCCTTCCTGGGGCCTTCAGTATTTGTTAATGTCAAACCATACGGTGCAAGAGCCTTGTCTGAGTGCATCTGTTACAAGACCTTAATTTAGAACTATGCAGTTGTGTTAAGTGTAGTACTGCTTGATAATTCATGGCTATTGTCTAGAGACAATAATGCTGTCTGAATTAGTCCTGTAAAACACTTTATTTGTTATGAGCATACTAATAAAACCTGCAAGCTTTGGAATAATACCAAGCAGTTGTGTACAACAGGCATTGCTTCTTATTCTGGTAATGAAGAGGATATGAGTACTTACAACATGGTTTAAACAAAGATCCTCATGTATGGTGAATTTTTTTTGATCACTATTTAAAGCTCAGTAAGGTTTTTCAGACTTTCTGTGGGCGTTTTCTTTTTTGCTTTTCATTTTATCAAGGAGACTTTTATTCTCTTAAACTTGACATGCCAGACATGTTTATGTAGCCTAGCAGTGTTTTAGGACATACATTTTATAAAGATTCTTATGCATTTTAGTTGCATAAAAGAAAAGCAGGTAAAGAACAGTTTACTCAAAAAATACAAATTAAAAAAATACCCCAGGGCAACTTGTGTAGATTCTGCTTTAAAGCTCTTTAACATAGTTCTCAGTAAATTCTATGTGTATACAATCTTGTTGCTTCTCCTGTTTTCCACTGTTAAAATCCTTTATTTAATTTGTTAGCAGAATGTGTAGTATATTTGGAAACTGTGTTGTGTTAAATACGAATATTTTAGTGTGATTGCACTTATTTGGGGGTTATCACTGTCTAATTTCATTACTGATATGTGAAGAAGCTTTTTTCTACATTTGAGGAGGGTGTTTTAATGCTTATCTTGTGGCATCACTTACTGATAACATGACAATTGTAAACTTACACTGAAAAAAATATTGTGATGTAAAAAGCTTGATATATGAATATCAGGCATGTATATGTGAGATGTTTTATGTAGAGAAGCCTTGAGCCCTTTAAAGGGCTTCTTAGCTGTTGAGATTAATTTGCAGAAGTGATTTTGCTTCACAGCCAAATTATCCCTTAATCCCTGGGTGATTCAGAAAACATGTGATGTCACTGAGTTTCGGTGTTGGCAGCTTTTTTAATTTCTATACCAAAAGTTAGAGTGTGATTCTTGTAGCTTTTATAAAACAAACTGACTGTGTTACTTCAAGATAAAATTAATCTCATTCTATTGTTATACGAATGTATTTTTCTGTGAATAGTTCCTAAATTCTAGAGAAACTTCAAAAGCCAATTTGTGGCCATGTGGTTAGTCTTAAAATTGAATTTTGTCAGTCTTGACATACTATGGACTCATTACCTACCATGTCAGTAAGCACCTTACCATTAAAGAGGCAATTAAAAATTAAGTGTATACTGAGAGTAAGCAAGTTGTTTTCCCAGATATTCTGAATTATTTTGTTTTGTTAGCTCCCAAAATCTTGGTGAGGTTTAATTGTGTGGCTCTGTTCTCATGGTGAAATAGTTTGTAACTGAGCTCTGAAATAATATAAGCTTTGCTAGAAAGCATGTCTAATGGGGTTTTGGTAGAGGCAGAGAAGATTATGAGGAGATTAGAATGTTATTGCAGGGATAATGACATAATCACCAGCTTACCAGCACAGGAAGAAAAGTTGGGTGTCACTAAAAGAAAACATTATCTCAAGATGCAAGAGAGGTAGAAAAAAAAAAGTACAAGATATGGAGTTTTTAGAATACAAAAAGAAATTGCTTTTGAACAGTGAGACCATGGCATATTTTCATTATACAGTTTTCTGGGGGAAAGAATTTCCTGTCAGGTTCAATCTGAGACATTAAGTCTGTAACAATCAAACATAGGAGGGTCAGGTTTGTATTTGGAATTGAGAAGAACTGGAAATGACACAAAGTAGACTGTAAAAAAGATGAGTATTTGCAATACCAGAAGACCTGTCTAATGCTACCAAAGAGTTTCTCAGTGACAAGACAGTTCATAAGGAGGAATATATGCAGGAATATCTTTGGACAAAAACCATAATTTTTGTTTTTTGCTTAGTATGCCTACACATGGTAGTGACACATGTCAAGAGGTAAAACTATTTAAGCTAATAGATTTATGTGAGAAAAGTCAATAAAAGGGAAAGTGGGAGAAGGCTTCAAAAATTACAGTATTCTGAGGGATCTGTCCTTGATTTCAGAATCAATGACTGCATGTGATCTGAGACAACTGTGCAATTGGTAGTACCACCCAGTTAGTCTGGGAAACAGCAGTTGTGGTTTGGTGATTATTTCATGACTGACAGAATGTGATGCTTAGGGGACTTGGGCAGTCTTTGCTCAAGGACGTCATTCCCCTCCAATTATTAGCTGTTGGTAAGCTGCTTGGATTCTGGTTAATTCTCTTTTTTTTCTTTCCCCCCTGCCCCCCATCCAGTGGTTTTTAATTGGCAACACATCATACAAAGTCAGTGCTGCCAGTTCTTTCTACTTCAGCGGTGTGTTTGTTGGAGCAATCTCCTTTGGCCAGCTCTCAGATCGCTTCGGGAGAAAGAAAGTCTATCTCACAGGTAACCACTACCACCTAACAAAATGATTGAAGTAGAGGTGTTGTGTCTCTGAAGATCAGTGACAAAGAGTCCTGTACCTGCTGACAGCTTACAGGGAATGACGTGCTGTGATTTTATTTTTTTTTTAATTTATTTTTTTTTGGTCCCTCTAGTATTCTTCAGGAATTGGTAGCGACAAGAAATTAATATTTGGCTATTCCATCACCTTCTGAATGTCTGGGAGGTGTTCTGGTTTTAGGCACCTGCAGGGGGTGCCTCTACCACCTCCCTGGGCAGCCTGTTCCAATGCCTCACCACTCTTTCTGTGAAGAAATTTTTTCTAATATCCAGACTGAACTTCCTCTGGTGCAGCTTGACCCCATTTCCTCTTGTCCTATCACTGGTCACCAGGGAGAAGAGGCCAACACCTGCCTCGCTTTCAGATAGTTGTAGAGATCAATGAGGTCTCCCTTCAGCCTCCTCTTCTCTAGGCTGAACAGCACCAGCTTCCTCAGCCTCTCCTCATAAGACCTGTTCTTCAGACCCCTAATCAGCCTAGTTGCCCCTCTCTGCACCCTCTCCAGCACCTCAATGTCCTTCCTATACTGTGGTGCCCATAACTGCACACAGTGCTCATGGGATCTCCACAGATTGCATTTAATATTTTTAGTGATTTTTTTTAAAAAAAATTCTTGTTATTTTTTACATGCATAACCTGCTTAGAATTTGTTGCACCTTTTATCTGCTATCTGCCATGATATAATTTTTATGTATTTGTGATCTTCATTGTTTTAAAGCTGAAGTTTTTTATACTGTCCCTGGATCAAGCAACATGGTTCATGTTTTGTGTATGTGCTTATAAGTTGTATGTCAATGGAGGAACATGTAGCAGTAAAAACCAGATTTATTTTTTTAATTTTTTTTAAAGGAACAACCTCATTCAAAGCAAATAAAGGTGGGCCTGCTATGCAGTGCGAACTCCTCATGTACTGTCCCCTGGTAATGTTTCTGTTTGCTAGTTTGTATGGACTTCTTTCCAAGAATGAGGGGAGATATTTGGTCATATACTTAATCTGTGACTTCTGTATAGGAATAAATACCAAACCATCTTAATGAGCCAGACAATAGTTACGAGTATGTGAAAAAATTGTCTGCTGTGAACTGAATTTGAAGGTTTACTACTGCAAATTATGTATCAAAAACCACTCCTTTTGTGTCCTCCCTTTTATGGTACTGACTTTAGGTGCTTAAATGTCTGCCTAAACCTGTGGTATGTAGCAGTGTGTTGTAGTTTTTGACTGTGATTACTTGGGACAGATGCCACTGAACATCACATAAAGCTACTGATGCTTCTGTTCTTCTTTAGGTACTCCTCTGAAATGAAACCTTTTGTCTTGCTTTTCCAGGTTTTGCCCTTGACATCTTGTTTGCTATTGCAAATGGATTCTCACCCTCGTATGAATTCTTTGCCATCTCTCGCTTCTTGGTAGGGATGATGAATGGTGGGATGTCACTGGTGGCCTTTGTTCTACTGAATGAGTGTGTGGGTACTGCCTACTGGGCATTAGCAGGTAAAGTCTGACTGTCAGCGTCATTATTACAACATTCCAGTACTTAAAGGGTGGCTACCAAGATGGAGTCTCCCTATTTACAAGGAGTCACAGGAAAAAGACAAGGGGTAATGGGCACAAGTTGCTCCTGGGGAGATTCTGATTGGACACGAGAGGTAAATTTTTCACCATGAGGACGGTCAAACACTGAAATAGTCTCCCAAGGGAAGTAGTAGATTCCCCCACATTGGACGCTTTTAGGTCTCAGCTTGACAGGGTGCTGAGCCATCTCATATGAACTATAGTATTATCTAGAAAGGTTGGACCAGATGATCTTTGAGGTCCCTTCCAACCTGGCATTCTTTGGTTCTGTGAATTAATAGATTCCAGTCTCACACGCCACTTCAGACACACCAAAGCTAACATCATAGCAGTTGTGAATTTAACTCTGCTTGAGGATCTTTGTGACCACAGTGAGCCCTTTGAGCCCTGTTTTGTTTAGTATGAGTCTTAAACTAATACAGTAGGTGACATGGGGCCATTCAGATTTCTGCATCACTCAAGCTGATGAAGGTCCAGTTCAGACATCCCCTGTCAACTTTGAACAGCTAAATACTCATGCAGGGTTTGTGTGTGATAGCTGAGCTCTATTCATCAGAAGTTTGGACTCTGCTAAACGAAGCTTAGCATTTGTATGCTTAATAGCAATTATTTTATTCCAGGCAGTTCTCAAAAAGACATCCACAATGTTTCCAAAGAATAGGAAGATGAGACAACTGTTCCTTATAAATAAATAAAAGTTGTCTTATATCAACCTTAAAACAAAAGATAGAGACACCCTTAACTGTCTTGGTTGCTAGTGCTGATGCTGTCCTTCAGGTATGATGCATATAAATTGTACTGTTAGAGCTCATGGGCCTGACTTACCCAGTCTGTGACAAGTGCCAAAGAAATGCTGTGCTGAGACTGTTAAAACAGGGTATCATCCAAGTCATGGGAGCTACAAATGCATACTATGAATTCCTAAAAATAAGTTTTCCAATGGTTTGTACTATTTAAACTTAGACATAGAAAGCTGAAACATACTTAGGTTTGCAATTGCAAGACTGAATTGTTCATGGGGCTTTGAGTATGGAGGGTGTAGAATGATGCATTTTGAACTTGTATAGATCTTTGCAATTGGATGTAATACTTTTCTGGATGGATGAAGGGCAGAATGTTCTTTGGTGAAATAGCTGTGATTTTGCCTCTGTTGCAGGGTGAATTTTTCGTAGTGAAGTGTTAGTTTCTGTCTGTTCCCATGTGTTAATTGTTAAAAAATGTTCCTTAAAGAGGTGATAATGTGTTTCTTTTAATTGTGTATTAGGATCTATTGGTGGCTTGTTCTTCGCCGTGGGAATTGCCCAGTATGCTTTATTAGGCTACTTCATTCGTTCCTGGAGGACTCTGGCTGTTGTGGTTAACCTAGAAGGGACAGTTGTCTTTCTTCTCTCTCTGTAAGTTATTTTTCAGACTGAGTTTCATTAAGAAAGGTGTCAAAAGTAAGAAAAAATGCACCAGCACACATGCAAGACACTATATATACATGTTAAACGTTACAGGAATGTTTTTGCAGTTATCTGATAACATGGTATTTCCCTTATAATTGTGCTTACACAGAAGAAGCAGCATGAAAATTGCTTGCACGTAGAGTTTTAAAGGTGACATGCAAAAGCAAAAAATAGGCAGCTTCCTTTTGTTTTTCAAGTATGATTAGAAAAGAGTAGGAAGAGGTTGTCTTTATTGACATAGTAGGAGTTTTGTGCTTGTGGACTTCTTCAATGAAAGCTATATGATGCAATGTGCTGTTCTTATATACTTCCTTGCAGCAAAATCTTAGTAACTGCAAGAAGAAAATGTTTATCTGTTTACCTGTTGTTTAAACTTGAAGCTTTTTTTCCTTCCAACATGTATTTAACTTCAGTTCCTAACTTTTTTAATAAAATCTTTGCTAAAGCATCAACACATCCTTTCAAAGGAAGCATCAGGATTCAGAGAAAGGTCTTAGAGGCTGCAGGCTGCTCATGAGGTAAAAGGCAGAGATGACACTTCTGATATTTCAAAACCTAGTGGTTGGGGAGTTTGGGAAAAGTTCTTAACTTTCAGATTTATATTAACAGTTTTTTGAAGTGCTTTATGCTTTGGACTTCAGAGCTGTGCTCTGAGGCCTGTTTTGCTGTAAGAGTATTTTTTTATTCTAAGTTTCGCACTCTCTCCTTGCCACATTGCTTAAAAATTGCTCTGCAGAAAATGCTATCATGTTTTTTTTAATGGAAGGAGAGGACATGCTCCTAAGATCTTCTGTACAACCCTAGGATAATTTTTCCTTTAAATTTAAAGGAAAAATGTGACTTGGTCATAAGCAAAAATCTTAAAGCTTCCGTCAAAAGACTAAAGTTTTAATTATACGTTTCAGGGATTCAAATGTAATAGAAGATTATTTGTTTTGTAGGCTGTGTTGGCATCATAGTGAACAGTGTTCATGGGGAGTAAGAGCATCATCATCTTTGCACAGACTCTGCCTTCCTGTCTACAGGAGAGAGATTTAGGGGAAAAGTTGGAAAATGAGAAACAGAAGACAGTTTGTAATAGTGTTACAAAACCACCCTGTGGTTACTTGTAGTAATGTGGTTCCTCCTTAATTCTGAGTTCTCCTAAGAGTCCTAATGATAACATAATTTATAGTATTGTGTGTATGTGTGGGTATATATGTATATATTCAGTGAAATTTCTTGATATCTAAATTACGTGTGACTTAGATTCTCTTTCCTTTCAAGATGCTTTGTCTCTGTTTCAGTAGGTTAATTCTACACCTGAAGGGTTATTTGAAAAAATTCTGTTATACTGAAATGTATTTCAGCCTTGTTTCCATAGACCAGTCCAGCCTCATAGAAGAGAAGCCCTAACGCTGTCTGTGTATGCATGTGCTTTTCAGATTCATTCCAGAGTCCCCTCGCTGGCTCTATTCACAAGGCCGGCTGAGTGAAGCAGAAGATGCCCTCTACCTCATTGCGAAGAGGAACCGCAAGCAGAAGTGCACTTTTTCATTAAAACTCCCAGCAGAGAGGAGCTCCAGAGAGGCTGGCAGCTTCTTGGATCTGTTTCGACATAAGATTCTCTTGGGACGCACCCTGATCATGATGTTCACTTGGTACTTGAAATACTTTGTAGACCCTGCTGTGCTACTGTTGCCTAAGACTTTGAGAGAACATGTTGCTGTGAATTGGCTCATCCTGCAGGTTTCACTTAGTCTCCGCATGTATTGTTAGGCACTGTACCTAAAAAGGATCCTTTTATTATAATATTTCCTTAGTGCATTTCTAAGGTTAAGCCATTTTCATAGAATCATAAAATCGTAGAATATGCTAAGTTGGAAGGGACCCATCAGGATCATCAAGACCAACTCATGTCCATGTGTAGGGCACCCCAAGAATCACTTCATGTGCCTGAGAGTGTCATCCAAACGCTTCTTGAACTTGGGCAGGCTTGATGCTGTGACCATTTCCCTGGGGACCTTTTCCAGTGCTCAGCCACCCTCTGGGTGAAAAACCTTTTCCTGATATCCAACCTAAACCTCCCCTGATTCAGCTTCCTGCCATTTTTACAGTCTGGTTCAGAGTTGGTTTATCTTTGCATTGCAATTATGCTTTTTCAGTTTCAAAGTAGTTGAGAATTACCTCTTCCTTTCTGGAGGCTGCTGAGATTAGTCATATTCTTTGGCCCAGTGCTGTTTGTCAGTACTTTCAGTCACATGGATTATTCTTTGTTTTGTGTGCAAGGAGCTCATTAGTAGGTGGGTGACTTACCTTGGCTAAAAAGTGTGTTTGTTTTCTTGAGAAAGTGCTGCCAGTGCTAGCAGTTGCTGTAGTAAGGAGCAGGAACCCATGGTGCTACCTCTAGGCACCAGGAGAAATTTAACTCTCCAAAAAGTGTCTGGTTTGTGCAGATAGTTCTTCTATCCCTGAGGTCTTTTGCTGCCACTTTGAAATAAATTTTTATGTATGACATGGTATGTGAGTCCTCTGGCATTATAGTTCATACAGTTGCTTTTATAATGCATATATTTGGAGATGATGTTTTGACTAACAGAAGAACAAATGGCTGTATTTTGTAGCAGACAACACAAAACTCTTCTGGTTGCTTTTGCAAAGTTTGCTGTAGAAAAGATGTTTTTTCTGCTCCTTAAATGAGAATTGCAAATTTCTCGCAGAATTAAATAGTGACCTGTTCCTTTCTTCTCTGTAGAAAAGACAGCCAGTCATGGCTACAAAAGAAAAGTAAAACATTGTATTTGGGGAATGAATGAAATTAGGCCAGGTTGTAGAAATTAAAAGAAGGTGGAAGTGTCATTTGAACTCTCTGAGGAAAGGTTTACACACAACTGGAAAGTATGGACAAAAATGAAACATGGTAAAAGCAAAAAAGGCATGCCTAATTTTTCAAATCAATATAATACTAATACTTTAATTTTTTAATAATTTATATACATACTTCTAAAGTGTAGTCTGAAGTTTAACTGAGTAGTAAGTCAGGAATTGGGTCCGTGCAGAGACAAAATGGTTTCTTTACCTAGGAACTATACTACGCCTGTAGAGAAACATTTTTAGAGCCATCTTCTGAAACATTAAATATAGTTGATGGTGTATTGTGCCAGACTGGTGCTTTGATTTGGCAGGCAAAAGTGGCAGTTCTGATTTTACTCTTTTTGTCCTTCACAGGTTTGTGTGCAGCTTGGTTTACTATGGTCTTACCCTTAATGTGGGTGATTTGGGTGGAAGCATTTACGCCAATTTAGCCCTCTCAGGGTTGGTAGAAATCCCAGCATACCCAATCTGTATTTACTTGATTAACCAAAAGTGGTAAGTATGAAATTACTAACCCATTCAGGGTTTTGCTCTGTTACAGTTTTCTCAAGGATAGGTTTCCTGTGCGTTGCATCGCCTTGCTTGTATCTGTTGTCTAAGGTGCCCTGCTTCAATGCTACTACTTCATTATATTCTCTTGGGAAATGCATTTTTATTTGAAAGTGCCACTGGCATCTCTTTACTTCAAATAACAATAGTTTGACTTGCTCTCAGTAGCTTACATTGAATGAGCCGTCTGAGTTCGACTCAGAGATGAGGCTGATCTGGATCGGTGGAACCTCGTTGTGCTGACTCTGTGCTAACACGAGGTGGCATTCTTCCCACCGCGCTCTCGTAATCCTCCTTCTCACTGTTAAATCAAAGCTACTGTGACTAAACTTTCCTGAAGCCGGCCTGTGGGTTCGTGTAAAAGCTGCTGTATGCACTGGTATGCGAGAAGAGCTGTTGATTACCAGTCGTTAGCCTTTTCCTGAGCCATGATACTCTGGACGATGTCTCTCACTTTTTGTAGAATTCTCTTCCCAGTCTCTTCTCTACGTGTCTCCTGAGAAGCTTTATAAATGTGCATACACACTGCGAAGCAAATAAGTCCTAGAAACTGTCAGACACTGTATAAAGGCTTCTTGGTGCTCATTTTTTAACAGTGCAGAAGCTTGTTTGAAAACAGTGTGAGAGGGAGTGTTTGTGGGAGATGGCATTCAGAATTTCCAATTGCAAATAAAGAGACAACATTAATTTAGAGGACTTATTGCTTTGCCAATCACAGTTCTAATGCAGAATAAAACTTTGTTATCCTTGCACATCAGGTTTGGTCGGAAGCGAACACTGAGTGCATTTCTGTTTCTGGGAGGCCTGGCTTGTCTTATTGTCATGTTTCTTCCTAAAAAGAAAGGTAAATATTTCCTTTTGTTTCTGAAATATGTGATAAGAATGTTTATGTAAACGCAGCATCCTATAGCTTAAAAATTTGATGGTTGCCAGTAGATTAAGCTTATACCACATGCGACTCAATTTTTGAAGCCAGAGAGACTAGCTCTTAAAGATAAACACCAATCTTCTTAAGACCTTGAGGGAAGCTTGTTAGAAAGGGATTGGATTTGAACTTTTGTTTTTGGAGTCTGCCCTTTATACCTGATCATCTCGATCACTCCTTTTGTAGAAGGTCTTTCTAGTGTTTCTGACTTAATCGCAAAGAACTAATGCTTATTGGAGTATCTCCATTAGCCAAAAGATATGTCAGGGTAAGTAACATCCATGCAGCTTGTATGTATCTGTCCAAGTCAATGATCAGTGTCAGAAGATCCTGAGAATTGAAGCCTGGGGCATGTTTCCATCTTTTTCTTACTGCTCTGGAGTTTTCAATTCTGGTATGGTGGTGGTATTAGTAATATGGCAACATAATTTGCAGTTCAGAGATAATTCTGAAAATTTTCTGAAGAAAGGGTCTTTAAGAAATGTGAAATCAAGTGGTTTTTTTCTAGACACATTAATGTTAATTTGATTTTTTGATGTTTTTCAAAGCAATAGAAACAAAATTGCAGTGTGCAATTTTTCCTTTGAAAACTAAGTACATAAATTAATCTTAGCTTTTAAGATATGTGCATCTATAACACCTGTCATAAGAAAAGGAGAGAAAAAGCTTTCAACATTGGAAGCATGATTCAAAAAGATTAAAAGTTGGTTATGGGAGTATGCATAAGTTGCTCTGGATGGCAATGAATCAGGTAAAACTTTTTCAAAGGGATACAACTCGAGTTTCAGAAGTGTTCCAGATGCTAAAGCCCAGACACTCAGATATTCTGGTTAGGCTGGTATCAGTCATCAAGTAGTTTCTGCAAATCAGTCCAAGTATAATGTGTGAAAAGAGAGATTTTCAGAGGATAGTGAGACCCCAGAACACCAGCTGTGTGCTGAACTGCCAGTCAGCCATGAGCAAAGTCCCTTAGAAAGCAGAATGGCTAACTGGTCAGAAACAAGCACCTGTCACTGAGCATGGTTTGTTCAAAGCAGTAATGGCTTATGCTGTAGCCTTGGAAGGCATTTAAAGTGTGTTCTGCCTGGTATAAGCAAATAAGCACTAGCCGTTCTGACAGAACTGAGCTGGAGAGGATATTTGGTGCGGTTCTTTATAGCATCTTCCTGTCCTTTGTTTTTCTCCTAAAGTAATCATGTTGGAAGCATTTTATCATACTATGTAATAAGGCTCTTTTTACTAAAAAAAACTTGGTCACTTTTGAAAAATGTATCCATTCTTTTCTTCAACTTGCCTTCAGAACTAGTTTATACTTTGTTAGTGCTAAACTCAAAAATTTGACTTTTAGTTTCAGCTTTTAGTATGTTTATAGGATTTTTATCTTACATTTCTAAACTGTGATGCCCCAGTAGAGCCTTAATGCAGGATTTTAATACTTTAAGGATGTCCCTTTTTTTCAGTTATTTTTTTATGGTGTGTTACATGGAGTTTTTCTCTTTGTACAAATTTGATTGCACGAATAAAGGTAATAAATGCATAGACAAAGAAGATAAACTATGTTAGATGATTTCTATCATTGCTGCCTAAAATAATGCTCCTTTGGATTCTCTTGAGTTTTGAGATTTCCTGAGGGTACAGACCACCTCCAGTATAATACTGTCCTTTAATACAAAATTGCTTGGGTGACATAATAGGTTCTTTAGTATGATCCTTTTCACTCCATACCATTGTGTGATTGAAATTATTATGGAGATGTATCTGAGTTAATAAAAGCCTTACAGGGGTTCAATTTTCTCTGTCAGATACTGGAGTGTTTGCAGTGGTGAATAGTCACTCTCTGTCTTTGCTGGGGAAACTGACAATCAGTGCTGCATTTAACATTGTCTACATCTATACATCAGAACTTTATCCCACGGTGATCAGGTAACATAGTTTAAGGTCTTAATTTTTCTGGCTCTTATGTGATCACCTTTTACTTCTCTGTTTTTTTTTCTATTAACTATACCTTTTCTTTTGAGAGTTTCAGTTACATACAATGATTATCTGAAGTCTTACATGCTGAATTTCTTCCTTTATCTTCTCACTTGCTCTTATCTCAGGTTTGCAATGTTTTCTTCAGATTAATCATATGCAAAATAAACAGCAAAATAGTTCTTTGGCTGCTCATTGTGCTTACAGTCCTCTCTCCACTTGTAAGGATAAAAATACTATTTCTGATATTTATCTAAGTAGTGATGTCTAATTCTTTTAGTGTTTTATAAACCAGACACAACTCTGTTAAACATTCATACTTGCTTAACCAATAACGCTGAAGATATCTGGTTAATATACTTTGTAGAAGTAACTGGATGCTTCATAGGCCATTTGTAAGCAATAGCAAGGTTTTACTCACTAGAAGCAGAAGTACCCCCATGGTTTTACCTACAAAACAGACGACAGCATCTATTGTATGGGTGCAGTTTTAGTAGATATTTTAACCAGGTATTGTTGATGATCGGCCACCACTGCAACTATACTATGGTGTCTTTCAAGGGTGGGCAAATCTGCAGATAAATAGGATTTGGATGAAGGAATTTAGTCAGAGTTTCAGGCATGCACTGACTGAAATAGCTTTTTTTTTTTTTTCCCTTGTCTCTCTGTATGTGTATGTATTTTAGAATTCTGAACATGCTGGGTATTTTTGCTTCTCTTTAAGCACAAAGAGTATGTTTAGTTCCTGTTGTGGCAAGCTTCAGTTACATTTGACTTTTCTTTGCCAGTAAATGTGGTCAAGGTCATGACTGAAATGTGGGGGGGTTTTTCCTTAACGGCACTTTAAAAAATTTTCACTGATTAATGCTTTTTGTTTTCTTCTTAGGAATGTAGGAATGGGTGCCTGCTCCATGTTTTCCCGCGTTGGTGGAATCATTGCACCTTTCGTCCCTTCATTGGTTTGTCTGAACTCTTCACTGTTATGTATTTCTTTGTTTTGTGGGTATGATGTATCAGAGGCTTAGAGGTGGGAATATTTTGAATAAAATCTATATATATAAACTAAGGTATGTAAATTGGATGTCCTAACAATATAATGGGAGGCCAAAGGTATCTGTCATTAGACAAAATCTCAGCATTTGGTTCAGATGTTTTAGCCTTGTAAGGATTTTGGGACTTGAACAATATACTAGTTTCAAATATCAAGATGGTGATTCCCAATTTTTAAATCCTAAGTGGGAAATAGCAAAAACCCCACAGAATTAAAAGGTCTGCTGCATTAAGAGATAGCATAAGGGCTCAATAACTCATATTTCTGAGAATAAATAGTTTTGCTATCAAGTGCACTTCACTGAATATCCATGGATTATTGTTATTGGCAAAACGGTTTATTTCAATGAATAAAGTTGTTCATGTGGAGACCTGAGACATCAGCAGGCCTGAGCACAAACTTCACAGCAGTGTGTCGTGGCAAAGAAAAATGCTGAAGAAAGAAATACTGGGATGATACTGTTTTCCTCTATATTCAAAGCTTTATGTGTATGTAGGTAAAATAGTGTCCCAGTTTTCCTTCACAGAAACTGCTTGCTGAGGTCAAGTGACAATTACTTTAATGTGACAGATTTCATCTGGAATAAGTTTCCTCTCTGCCAGCTTCCCATCTTGTTATATCAAGCAAAGGTCTAGTAAAAGGGCAGATAAGCACAGTGAGCCTTTTAATCTCCAGAATTAAATGTGGGGTAGGTGAGAGTGTGAGCACCTCTGGGGTACAACAGGGAAAGGCAAGACAGGTGCAGGTCTCCCAGGTAGATTTATTAGGCAGGTTTTATGCAGCAGTTGGGGCTTCTGTTATGTTGTATCTAGCAGAGATTTGGCACTGCAGGAGACACAAATTGTGGATTATAATTTTTGAAGGGATCCCATGAAAGTGAAAATTACAAATGAGCATTGATTTGAGGAAGAATTAAATATTTTTGTGTTTTGGAATTTCTTAAACTATTTTTATATGTTTTCAGTAACTTCTGTCTGGAGATCTTATATAAAAGGTTGGAATGGAATTTGTATTTGATCAGAGGATGTTATTTTCTCAACTTAGAATTGCTCTTTACTATACAAAGTGAGTTTTTGAAACAAATAGTTAAATTCTCACCTTTTTTTAAATGAGCTTGCTTTACTGGTTGTTTGAAAGTAAACATACACATTTTGGAGCTGTATTGTAGATTACTCATGCTTTTGCACCAACCTTTCCCAGTGTAGTTTTGCTTTTAACAAGCCATGTGGAAACAGGGACAGGGGTGAAAAGAGGAGCAGAAACATTGTTTAGTCTGTCAGGGGTGATAATAGGCCAAAGCTCAGCTGAAGCTAAACCTAGCTAAAATAAAAAAGTAACTAAACCAAAAAATAGCTAAGTAAAAATTCCATCAGCTAAAGAAAATGTAGAGACAATATTTAGCCTGTTGTTGAATGGGGATGGACATCCTCTTGATGGATGTGATGGAATAAGCTGAAATATGTAACACTTTTGCTTAAGTCCTCATAGGCAAAGCTTGACCCCAAGACTCTCCTTATCAGCACAGTTGAGGAAGCAGAGGGCCAGCAAACAGTGGAGGAGCAATAGGTTCAAGAACACTTAAAGATGAAAGCTTTCCATTCCATGGAATAGGATTGTCCAAGAGGTGGTGCAGGAGCTGTGATAGTGAGGCAAGTGTCCATCTGTGATAACCCATAGTTGCAGAAGAAGGTGACTGATAACTGTGGAAGAAAAAAAATTGCTAATCCTATGTGCATCTTGTGAGATCAAAAAAGGGATCCAAGGATGTTACAGGCTGAGCAGCTCAAAATCAGACTCTAATAAGATCATGGGGCATGGCCTCTCACAGTCTGTTTCTGAGCATGTGAAGGCCAAGAGGGTAATCAGTATCAGTCACATGGATTTACTAAGGGAAATTCATTCTCAGTTTGATTTGATAGTCAACCATTTCATTACAGAAGGTAATAAGGATGAGGAAAGAGAAGAACAGGAAGGGTTCTTGTTTGAAAGCTGAGGAAATGTGTCCTGGATAAAAGGAATATTAGATTTGAAAGTTTCATGGACCACCAAGCTCAAAGGGATAGTGACAGGGTCAGTATTGGGTGGATGGTGACAAATAGGAAATAAGACAGAATACATCCTCTTCGTATTTTTAGAGGAAGCAAAATAAGGAGTGGTTGACTTACCAAATAGTAGATCTTGAGTCCAGCAGGACTATTTGGGCCAAAAGAAATCCCATGAAGGCCAACAAGAACAAAATTCTGTGTCTGGTATGGCCTAATTACATGGTTAGTAGAGGCTGGGAACCAACTGACTGAGTAACAGCCTTGCTGGAAGAGATCTGGGGAGGAAAATGGATGACAAGTTCAATGGGAACTAACAATGTCCTCTCATCACAAATAGACAAACTGCACACATTGGGCCTCAGTCAGTGTCCCACAGATTTAAGTTCCCTCCCAGTTCTAGAGGGACGCAGAGTCCAGTGGAGGGTAACTAAGGCTCTGTAGAGCCTGGAGCACGTCTTCAGAGGAAAGCTTGGGGAAATATTGCCACCTTTGATGTTCCCAGTAGCTTAGAACAGCAGTTGTAAACTGCCACACGGTTTGGCTTGGGGGTTAGACAGGAAATTTGGAGAATACTCTTTTTGTGAGGCTTAATGCAGCCCTAGAAGAGTTTACTCAGAGGATTAATCTCTATCCTTGGTGTTTTTTCAATACTTAGTTACCCTAAGCTATTATTGGCTTGGTCTAGTGTGGATGTTGGCATGCTTAAAGTAAATGATTGGCCTAGATGACCTCGAGAAATCTCTTCCAACCAGCACATCTGTGATTCTGTGACAACTCCTCCGTACTACAAAGTTTGTTACAAAGTGCATATGTTATGGACAGGATTTGAGTAGAAGTCCTGCAGGCATTTCTTTTCAAGTTTATTCCAAAATCTGTGTGGATCTAATACCGGCTTTTAAAAAAACCTAGTAGGATTGTAATATGAACACAAACAGTTGCCAAATGGAATGGTTGTGAAGATTGTGCTTTAATATGAAGTATGGACTAGAGGGAAGCAATCTAAACTCTCTGTTATTTATTGCAGAAATCCGTACAGTGGTCTCTGCCTTACATTGTGTTTGGAGCAACTGGTCTTCTGTCTGGACTCTTAAGTTTACTGTTGCCAGAGACCTTAAACAGCCCTTTGCTAGAAACTATTTCAGACCTGCAGGTATGTTCCTACTGGAGGCTGGGTGATGAAGCCATGTCGTTGCAAATCCTAGGTGGCTCACAGGTATCTTCATTTTTCTTTCTTACTGCATTTCTGTTGTATTTATTTTGGCTGTCAGCTTGAATATGCCACTCTAAATAGATTAGGATAGTGATTCTTGGCCTGTGGTGGATAGGCCCCAAGGAGATACAGAAGATAGTTTAGTAACTTTACCATCACATGTGAAACATTGTCTGGAAATGCAGGCTGAACGACAGCTGGGTTAATTCATCCCTTCAAGGCCAAAAGATTACAATCTTTTCCTTTGGGCATAAAGGACTCGGTGATGTCTGTGCATCTCTAATCTCTAGGATGGATTGCTGCAGCATGCCTCATGCAAAGCTGGCCATTGCAGCTTCTGAGAAGCCTTAGACATTAAATAAAACAGAAGCCTGTTTGTTAAGGGCTGTTCTCAAAGACAGCACACTACTTCTGCCCTGCCCTGGCTCTGCTGCAGTGTCAATTGTTAGGTCTGTCCTAGATAGACTAACCTCTGAGGTCTGTCCCACTGTTGACTTGTTGAAAAGGTTGGAACTACAAAATTCCCAGACATTAACGTAGTGGTAGGGATGTTTTTCTGTGAGGTTTCTTTGAATGTTGTTTTTTTCACATCACTTAATAAACTAATTTTGTCAAACACTTGGATACCTCTTGAGATGTGTGCATCCTCCAGTCGTGTGGAGGTTTTTTTACTTTGCTGCTTCTCAGTGAATGGATTTGAATTAAAGTAGCTAGAGAATGGGAAGTGGATTTTAGTTTAGGTAAGGTTTTAATGTTTAAATCCTGGCCCCAAAATTCGAAGTATCAATGAACTAATAAAAATTGAATAAGTGGTCAGAAGACTTGAAAGGCAACCCATAAAATATTAGTTGTCCCATTAGGTTGAGATGAGACAGAAACCTTAATACATTTTACTTTTGATTAATTTTTGGTCAAGCAGACTGTGATTCAAAGGCAGTCAAACTTACTTTCACAGGAATCAGGAGACAGAGAAAAAATTACTTCTGGAATCAGAGCAGTTGCTTCCTTTCAAAGGCTTCAACATATGTTGCCTTGTTTACAATTTTAGCTGTAACAATTCTTGACAGGACAGCACAGTTTGGTGACAAAAACAACCTCGAAGAAAGCTTGAAAGAGGCAGCACTGTAACAGTTTTACACTTTAGGTATTTTACATGCATGTTTTATAAACACTTTTACCCATTCTGGATAATTTGTTATGGCACCACTTTCTTGCTGGCTGCACAAATCCATCATATACATTTACATCAAGCTTATACCAGCTGTTATTTTGGTAATTACATCATTATTACATCTTAACTGTGCAGGTGGCTTACTAACAAAAAACAATTCTAGCAAACAGTGCAGGTGCTATAAACTGGAGGAGAGTAAAGTCATATTTTTCTTTTCCTTTCTAAGCAAGTAAGGTCAGTATTGTCCTCTGGGATGACTAGTATTGTCTATCATTATTTGCATGAATTGGTTCACTTATGTTAAGCAGTCTTCTCATTTTAAATGTTTCCTGCTTCCATTTCTATGGCCTTCTTAAAAACCCCAACCTGAACAGTATCCAGAAATGGGGGGGGGAAAAAAAAAGAGATAACATTCTTCAAGAACACTTATCCCCACTGAAACGGGGATCCCCTGTTATCCCCCACGTGAAATAAAAAAGTTGTCAGTTCAGGCCTGAAGTAATCCTGTAACTTCAGTGCAGTATTATCTGGAATGCCTGTGATATATTAGGGGTTTATTTTAAAGCTCACAAAGAAAGTGCTGATAAATGAGAAGTTGTTAAACATTAACCCTATTTGACAAGGCCATGGAGAGGTCTTACGGAGCAGCTGTAAGAAAGATGTAGAATTTATTTGGCATACTCTGAATTCCCCCTGTGGAATCCACTGTCCTTTTGTACCACTTTGAGGATAACATGCATTCTGGTTGCCCAAAATAAGGTTTTGTCCCTGTTAGCATGCATAAATGTGATATTCAATTTGGACAGCATCCAGTGATAGCCTGACTTTCCTCAAATGATTTTAGAAATCCAGAAAAAAGCATGACATATATCTTCTGACAGGTCTTGGTGCTCAAACTGTTTGAAATTCCTTTGCAGTTAACACACATTTCTGTAGCAAAACTCTTCAGAAGACAGATCTAAAGCTACAGATTTTCTTGCATGGTACTGTCAGTCAGGAACATGATTTCCATTTCTCTTTTTCACCCTCTCTCAGCCTTCTTTGCATATGACTAGACAGGCAGAAGTTTTAGGTTGGGTGCAATCAGAGTGAAAAAAACTAAATAGATGGAGTTTATACTTGCAAGAGAATCTTCTTAACTGGAATAATTTCATGGAATTGTAGAATATCTCAGGTGGCAAGGGATCCGTAAGGATTATCAGGTTCAACTCCGTGTTCCTCACAGGACTACCTGAAAGTAAGCCATGTGACTAACTGTGTTTGGTTTATATCAGTTTCATGGAAAAATGTTACACTGACTGAATAAAAATCAATTACTTTAATAGGTAACTTGGGTATCAGTTTGGGTATCTGATGTAAACTGTGTTGTTAAAAGGACTCTGGCAAGAGTAGATGTGTCTGTAATAGGGAGTTTCCTTTCTGAACATATGAACTGGTAATATATTTTCCCTTTTTCATAACATCCTTAGTATTGCAAGGGGGATCTTTTTGAACTTGCACAGGAAAACGTCCATTCTACCACAAGGAGAAATAGTAATACAGGATGGAGAAGCTCTTACCTAATCAAGTAATCCCTTTGTTCTAAGCCTCTGTTTGCAGTAGCTCACTACAGACTAGGGACCTTAGACTTAAGAAAACCAAGTAGATTATCACTTCAGAACCATTCTAGCTAGTCTCTCTCCTGTGTGTATTATCTAGTGTACTGCTGGAGCAATGAGTCCATCTGCTAGAAGCCCATCTCAAGAGATGACTCTTGATATCCAACAGAGGCTACAAGGATGATTAAGGGACTGGAACACCTGCCTTAGAAGGAAAGACTGAGAGACCTGGGGCTTTTCGGTCTAGAGAGAAGACTGAGGGGGAGATCTAATTAATGTCTATAAATACATGAGGGCTGGGCATCAAGAAGGCAGGGACAATCTCGTTTCACTTGTGCCCTGTGGTAGGATGAGGGGCAATGGATTCAAACTTGAATACAGGAAGTTCCAGCTCAACATGAGGAAGAACTTTTTTACTGTGAGGGTTACAGAGCACTGGAACAGGCTCCTCAGAGAGGTTGTGGAGTCTCCTTCTCTGGAGACTTTTAAGACCTGTCTGGATGCCTTTCTGAGTGATCTGCCCTAGTTTTTTTGGTCCTTCTCTGGCATGGGGGTTAGACTGGATGATCTTGGGAGGTCCCTTCCAACCCCTAATATTCTTTGATTCTGTTAAGAGATTTTGAAGAATGGAGGACACATCTTGATTCACATAACTTTCTTTACAAAATTTTAATAAAATTATTTGACCTGTCTTCTGTTTGTATCTTCTCTACCAGCATTCCAACAGAGGTATAATGGTTCACGCTTACATATTTTGACTTAGTGGCTTCTGCACTAACCAATGACTTAATTTTTGTTTCTAGTCTGGAGACAAAGACAGTTCTGCAAGCAGTGGAAGTGAAGATGAGGAGTTTTATGATGCTGATGAAGAGACTCATATGATCAAGTAATGAAAAGAAGAAACACTGTCCTATTGTATGCCTTTCTTACTTGTCCAGTCAGTCCAGCTGTAAGATGAGTTCTGCAGACCTCACATGTCAGGGAATGTAATCATGCAATTACCTGTGTTTTTCCTGACTTGGAGAGGGGTTTGAGTACTGTTCAGGCTAGTAACACCACTGATGCTCTCCATACGAGGTAGCTGTTCAAATTCTTATGGTTCAGAATGACAGTGCATGGACTGCATTTGAAGCCAGGTGACAGCAGGAGTTGGGATGATGTGTTCCTGCAGCCAAGGAAATTACTTAGGCTTGGATGGATTTGAACAGATCATCAATGCACATGTTTGTGGTTTATTTTCAAGGTGGTTGATTTTGATTCGGTATAAATTGATAAACTTGAAAACATCCACTTTTTTTTCCATGGAGTGAAAGCAGTCATAGAATGTGCTGTCCTACTCCAATGGGAATAAATTGCTAAAATTGTATGTTAAATGGCTTCTGCCTATTGAATAGGGAAGAGGCAACTGTGAACATAAGGTTTCTCTTTCTGCACACAGATGTACACAGAGTTACAGGGTGCAGCTGGTTAGTCATGAGCTATGCATGAACTTAGTGATAATGAAAGGCCAGGAAGGACTACTGAAAAAAACAACCATAAAGCCTGCAGGCGTAAAGGACATTGCTGATTTATTTATTTATTACTACTTTTCATCCATGAGGCATTTTCTTGGCTGTCTTACACATAGGTTTGCCACATGTTCCCACATCTCAGCATTGGTGTTTATAGCTTTGCCTACCTTGTCCTCACTTTGTCATAAATACTGAAGCTCAGCAACTTCTCTGTGCAGTGAAATAATTCTGTGAAGGATATAATTTTATGGGTGGGACGTAGTGAGGTATTTATCACATACTGTGTAATGTAAGTTGTGTGTGTTAGAATTTATAGCTCATTTTTGTCGACCTATCTGTGTTTTAGTTTCTGGAAGAAACTTAAATCCAAAATGATAAGAGGAGCTATGGGTTGATGTTAGATTTGGGGGGTTATTGCCAGGAAGCTGCTAGTACTTATTTAAAATTCTTGCATGTAGATTAAGTTCTTACCTCTTTGAGACAGCATTTGGTTATTTGACATTGTTTCTTAATGAGATGCTTTCTCAAGCAATTGGTTACTTGACCTTTTTGAGGAAGAGAGCTTCACTGTCCTGTTTACACTGAACTTCTTGTTCCTGTTGGCTTCTCATTAAATAAAACCTGCCTGCTTTGAAGCAATGGTTAGCTACATGCTGCCAATTTCCAAAAGGTTTTTTTAGTTGTTTGCTGCCTCTGTCCCTCTTTGGATGTTAGGTGGAGCAAGACAGCTGAGAGGCAGACAGGAGCAGTTAGCCTTCCTCCCTCTGTAGGTTAATGATCATTATCTGCTACTGGCAACCCTGGTCATGCCACAGGACACCTCAACATGATTTTCATTAAGACAATAGGATGCTATAACCATTCAGGTGGAGGAGTTCACTTTTTTCAGGACCTAAGCTAGATTTTGTGACAGTTCTCAGCTTATAATTAAGGTTACCTCTCCACTTGTGCACTTTTATGTCATAAGTACATGTAATTTTACATATGTAAAATTGTAGAAAACAAGAGTAAAGAAAATATAAGCAATTGTTTTTTTCATAAATGTTGCTGTTCTTTTTTTAACTTTAAATCTGTCCTGTGTTTGAACCTATGGAATTATAAAGGACAACATCTTTTTGTGAACCATAGGAACTCTCTATTGGTATTTTCCCCAGCCAGTTCTTTCAGAAGTTTTATAGGAGAAAATCAACTGCTCCAAGAGGAGCTCAGCAATGTACTCTGAGGTTACTTACAATTTCTTGCTCTCCTGCTTTTTCTTCTGAAGTTGAAATCCGTTAGATGCATTTAGTTTCTTTTCAGGGAGGTTTGCTTTGTAAGAACAGGCCTTTTGGCACAGAAACCTGTAGGATCAGTTTTCTTTTTACCCATAGAGTGCAATGCTTTATAACACTGAGATGCATGGGCTACATCTGGCATTCATTAGGGAGATCTGCTGCACAGTGTTATGCAGCCTGTGTAGTCTGCATTTTCTCTGACTAGGTGGAGCATTATTTCTAAGCAGAAGTTCTTCAGTTGGACACTTTCTGCTGTCTCACAACCATGTTACTTGAAAGCCCAAGTCAGAAGGTCAGAGAGAACTTGTGACTTTGAAGTTACATGTAAGCAGTCTGTGTAGGCCCAATTAATAACTCTCCATGTATGGGCAGTAAGTTTGCCCTGTGGAGCAAAGCAGAGGGAGCACAGAGGCTGATACAGCACTAGATATTTCACAATTTATGACATTATAATGCTTAAGGGTTTAAGACCCAACATCCTTGTTATAGTTGAGTGAAGTATGACAACCTTACCCCATATGTGCTTGAGTAACTTTGCATGCTAGGTAGCCTGGACTGTTTTTACTGTTGCCCAAGCACTAGGATACCTACCCCAAGGTGGGAATTCTTTCCCTGGATTGCTTTGGTTTTGCAGCTGTCATTTTTCTCATCCAGCTCACAATGGGATTATACTTTCCCACGGTGCTGGTTAATCAGATCTTAATACTGTCTCAGGTGAGATATGTTTGGGATTCTGCTGAGGATCTCACAAGTGGTACTGGAGTACAGCTAGGAGTGAAGGAGAGAGAGAGAGAGAGTATGGAGGAGAATTAGCTGGAGGGAGCTGAAAGAAAAAGTGAAAACACAAGGTAGTAGGCATTAGGTGGAAATACCCTTTTTGCTGTTTGTGTGACTTGAAGCTTGTCCTTTCAGAGCTAGCATTGGTTCCAGGATGTCCTCTTAGGATCCCCAGTTTCACTATTTCCTTTTTAATGTCAACTACTACTTCAGTGATGAGACATTTCTTTTGACTAATACAAAATGTGACATGCTTCATTTTTCTTTTGGACTGAGATGTTCTATGAAATGGCATGTCATTAAAATAATTACAATTTGTAGAGCCCTCTTACAGAGAGTGCTGTATAACTGTAATTGCTTTATTTGCCAGCTTCCCTTTCAAAGATAAGAAGATTAGAGTTACATGATTTTTTTGGTCACATGACTTCTCGTGAAGCGATATTTCAGCCTTGTAAAAGAATTTTGCTACCTGGCTATTTTTAATAGGGTTAAGATAATAGAATAGGGAATTTATCTGACAAGTTTATTTTTTAAACTCTTTCCTCAAAAACAAAGCTAGTGCCCTCATTTTACGGACTGGTGAAGTGCTGTTCAGAGTTACAAGTTCTGTGTTTAAGGAGAGCCACTGGTGACTTGGTGTTCAGGTCAGGGTGCTGAGTGAAGAACATGTCCACACCTCTTCAGAGACACTTAATTAACATGAAGCAGGTTGTAGCTAGTTACCACCTTTGTCATAGTCAAGGCTTTAAGGATTGCAGCCACATGCTCATCTGCTCACACCACTCAGTCCTTGATAGAGTTTCCAGATTGTATGGATGTACTGGGGTTAGCAGAGTTTGCTTTGCAGAACTGTGGGTAATGCAGTTGAACCTTACGTTTTCTAGCCTGTTTCACCTAAGCATATAAAAAACATTTTGCAAGAGAAGTGTCTTCTTGTGCTGAGAAAAAGGGGAAAGTAAGGAACAGACTTACTTTTCCTAGAGTGTATTGTTAGTGGAACCATTTGAGATAAAATTCCTGTTCCCAAGTTTTCAGCATAGTCACCAAATGTGGATTTTGGTCAGTATTTTGTTTTAGCTGAAGGGTGGTATGCTATGTATTCATTTTCCCATCCCATTAGAGCTTCTTTGATCACATTTTTTGACACAGCTGAATCCAGGCAAGTGTGCATGCAAGTTGTGAGCTTTACAGTAAGTATGTCAGAAAAGCCCCAGAATGGTGCTGTCATCTGATGGTGGAAGTTAGTCTGGCCTGTCACACAATGCCTGTGTCAGAAATGTCTATATTCAACTGTTTACCAAACAAGAGACTTAGGTATTTTGAGTCTTATTATTTGCATCTTACTACAAGGTGTATCAAGTGGAAGAAAGATAATTGCATAAGAAAACATCTGTGGCAGATCTAAATGTAGAATTGGAGGGAGAACAAATTTATACAGAATTTTTCCATGCTATGAATTTAATGCTTTGTCCAGTCTGTTCTAGCCTTCAGATTTTCCAGGTGCTACTGTTATGTAAGTCTAATTAGAGCTGGGTAAAACTGGTACCTTGAGAGAGCTGAGCAAATTCACACTCTCATCTTATTTTTGGTACTCTTGTTGTTTCTGTCGCTCTGGAAAAAAGCTCCTGTATTGCCTAATGGGGAGCAGATTTTTTTGTTCTAATTTGAAGTGTCTGTTTTAATTTCCTCAGTCAATTTGACATGGAACTGTGTGTAAAGTAACATCATAGAATTGGATTATATAAGTGCCAAAGACAGTTCTTGCTGGAAAGCAGTAGTCCAAAACTAGTCCTAACTGCATTCATTTGGAATATATCCATGCAGCCTGCTAAAACTGGTGTTTACAAGCATCTCCAGAGCTTTAGGGAACAGAGTTTAGTTACCTTTGCTTGCTTGTCTTTCATTGCTTTCACTTGAGTAGCTTTTGCTTCTGAGAAACCAAAGAAATGAAATGAAGGATTCATGACAAAGTGTAGGTTTTGTGTAACGAGCAGAATTTACACCATGGAGCTGTTAACAGAGAAGTCTGCAGATCCTGTTTCTTCTGAGTTGCAAACGTTAAAGCTCACTCCAAGACTGATAAAACCTGGTTTAAAACTGCACATTGGAATTTGTTAGTTAATTCATCAGCCTTACAAATTAGCATTGCTAATGACAGCTTGCCTGGAGCTTCACAGGATCTAACAGATTTCTATAAAAAGCACAGTCTGAGGTACTGCTAAATGATAATGTCTAGAGTTTAAATCCCAATTGCAACTGAAATTCACTGCACGTCAGCCCTATCACGGCTACTTGTTTGCAAGTAAATAGGGAGGTGGATGAAAGTTTGTGCAG